CGTTTAGAGACCTTTTTCATGATATGCTATTTTTTTGAGATAGGAATTTTGGGTTTTCATGAGCTGTATGCCAAAATCATCAGTATTAAAACAATAAAAGACCTGAAATATTTCAGTTGGTGTGCAATGAATCTAAAATATATGAAAGTTAAATTTTTATCATTACATTATGAAAAATAATGAACTTTATCACAATATGCTAATTTTTTTAGAAGGACCTGTATATATATATACACACACACACAATTTTTTTATTTTTCAAGCTAGCTCTAAGAATATATATATGTATATATATTAATATATACATATATATTCTTAGAGCTAGCTTGAAAAAAAAATAGTCACAGATTTACCAAACAAGTTCTATCAACTGTCTTATTCCATTTTTGTCTTTTTCTGATTTTGCAGAATGTTCATTGTTTTCTTTCTAGTGTTACATGTAAGAGTTGATATTTGTGGAGTGTATTGTTATGGATATTTTACATTTAGATGAATTAATGTCAAAATAAAGCCATTTACTCATCCTTGTGTGCTATTTTTTCTTCTGTGGAATGCAAAAGAAGATATTTTGTAAAAATGTCCATGTAAAAGACAATGTTTTCTGGATCCCATTGTTCTTCAAACTATCTTGTTTTTTTGTGCAGAGAAGTTAAACAGGTTTGGAATGAGGTTGTAAATCATTTTTGGATGAACTAAAAATGTGTTAAATGATTCAAAGAACTATACAATATAGTATAGAAGCCTCAATGAGCTAATTCTATACATTTTAAATAGAGTAAATTATTTGTGTTGTAAAATGTAAGATCTCAAGGTTTACATGAAAAAAGGGTTCTAGTATGGCTCTAAGCTTCTGAGGTTTGGCAGTAAGGTGTGCTGTCCAGAGGAAGGTGTGACCCCCAGGAGACCACCAAGACAGCAACATAGTGTCGGCGCAGATCCGGGCCACATCTGGTACATGTGGATTCCACACATGTAGCTGTCTGAGCATTTATGGCAGGTGTAGTACTGAATTATGTGACCCTAGTACACTCAAAAAAATTATATGTTGGCTTTAATTTTTTTTTTCCGTCAACAGGTTCCACATAACTGGGTTACGTTAAACAAACATAATTTGTTCATGTAAATTCAACATCATGGGATTAAGTTAAGCGACCCAATTTAAGTAGTTAATTTAAAGGCTTTTAAAAATATTTTTTATATTCATTCATCCATTAATATTTAATTTATTTTAGTGACACATAATTAAATTGATAGACTATAGCTAGCTATTTGCTAGCAGTAGCACATATTAGCATCTTAAATGCTAAGATTTACTTGCTCCTTCAACCAAAGCAGAAGAAAGTAAGTAAATCAGTCCAGCCAAACAAAATGCTCCACTCTTCTCCACAATGGTAACCCACTGTAATTTAAATGGTTCTAATAATTCCAATGTAATTTAACATTAAACACAAATACACACTATCAAGTCCTCCTCCCCTTTTCTAATTTTCTCAAAAAAACATAAAATAACACTTAATTTCAACATTTATTCTCTCTTAATTCAACCATATGCAAAGCATGCTGGGAACTAACAAGCACCGCCCAGTTTCAGTTAATGCACCAGATTGATAATGCAAATCAATCATGTAATCCAACACAAACGGATTAAGTAAACTTAAATTTTACATATATTTAAGCAGATTGAACACAATCAAATTAAGTTCGGGCAAAATGGCAGTTGGCGTCGCACTATACTGCCACCCTCTGGATGTAAGAATTTTTTACTTAACATAAATGGTTTGTGTTTAGACAACGCGTTAGGATTTTGTACACATGCTGGGTTGTTTCAACCCAAAGTTGGGTCAAATATGGACAAACCCAAATGTTGGGTTAAAAATGTAATTAAAAAATGTAAAAAAGTGAAAATTTAAATTACATTTTTAACCCAACATTTGGGTTTGTCCATATTTGACCCAACTTTGGGTTGAAACAACCCAGCATTTTTTTTAGAGTGTACTGTTAAGTTGAGACATAATTACGTGGACCTTAATAGAAAAAAAACATTTCAAGTCAAAAAACACAATTATTATAAGTAAGCCAAATATAAATATATTATGTAAAGTGCACAACCTTCCTAGTTCATTAGGGTTAGGATTATGATTGGCTATAGGTCAGATTAGCTCAAAACAGCACCTAGGGTCACAGAATTCGGTGGGCACAACACCGATTCACACAGAAATCAAAGAAAATAAAAAAACCTGCAAGGCCTAGAGCGGCGTTTTTTAAAAGAAAAACTTCTTTCAACCTGGGCGCTGTGTTTTTAGAATGCCGTGTCATGAGCAAGCGCAGCAAAAGACCCGAGACGCGACAGTTAAAGGGTTAAAGTGTGTTTAAAAAAACATCCCACTATCAAAAAACTTCATCCCCGCGTGATTAGATTTTGTAAACATGGAATAGTTAACTTGATTTCACTGCTGACCACAAATGGTCGTTTTGTTGCAGAGAGGAAGGCCTGAATGTGATGATGGCCAAAAGCCTGGCTATAATTTGGGAAGCGTTTTGACATTGGGGAAAAAAGTGTGCTTTGTTTTACGAAGGTACATTAACATTGTTCTTACATCGCTTCTGCTGCTGTATTTTGAGATAATCAGGAAAGCACAAATCTCTTGTTCAACGTGAATTATGGTAGCATATTTAACTCAATCAGTTATTTTAAACCCTTGTCCGCAGCTCTATTGGACTTGCCATGTTTTTGTTGGCATTGTCTTTGTGTGCATGTGCGCGCATGAAGTATCCTGGTCTTTTTAACGCACTCGGGCCTCGCTGTTCAGATCGCCTTTTAATAGCGATGACGTGAGCCCATGAAGGAACCTGACCTCTCATAAAGCCACAAAGCCTGGGCTGTCTACCCATCCAACTCCTTCACACAAAACCACACAAATACAGTATCCATCTCTACATCCAGATTTATCCGTTTCTATACTGCCTCTTTCATGTCATTATACGTCAGGTAGAGAAACAAAACATTGATTGACATTTACATGAGCCATGACTGACTAATAAACTCATTTCTCATCCACCGCAGATACATGGAAACGGTGAGAGGAAAACGACAGTATTTAAAAAGATGTCATTTCATTAATAAGAAAGAGGTCCCTGAATGTAATAGCTCAGCAAGTGGTGTCAGGTGTAGAGAGCGCACAACGAAGGCGATATAAACATACTGTAATTGTCTTTATTTTCATTCACAAACTGGACAATACTGGACAAACGAACTGCGGAAAGACAGGGCTTATATACTCCGAGAACGTAATCACAAGAGAAACAGAACAGGTGCGTCGAATCAGGGATTATGGAAACTAATTAACAAACAGGGAAATTAACTATGAACTAAGGAAAACGGGAACACAGAAACTAAACAGAAACAGAGCATACATGTGACAGGTGGATTGCTTTTTCTTTTGAATATGTATTAGTTTTAGGGTAGGCTATGTGTTTACACGACAACGATATGCTGAAAACAGAGAGGTTTTTCCTTTGGGTTTTCCGCATACAGACGGTACAACCGTTTTGTTGTTTACACGGAGACCATTTTCAAAAACTTGCACCTTGAAACCCGTTTTCAAAACCCGTTTTCGGGCACCCAAAACTCAGTTGCCGGCCAAAACGCATAAAAAGTTCAACGGTGTCGTGTAAACAGCCCCTATAACTCTGCGAATAAGGTTATAACGTAAAACTTTGCATGCGTTTTGGCCGTTTATTTTGGGTGCCTGATTACGTAAACTTTTGAAAACGGGTTTCTGAGTGCAAGTTTTTGAAAACGGTCTCCGTCTAACAAAAGAAACACGAATCTCTGAAGACGATGACGTCATGCACATGTGTATTACGCGTTCAGTCTATAGTGTTTCATCAATATCTCATGGCCAGGCAGCAGAATACAGCGTTTTTAGTCGTTTTAATGGGGATCGTTTTGACAATGGTGTTGTCTGTACGCGGAAAACTCAAAAGAAAAGCATATCGTTGTCGTGTAAACGTAGCCTGACTCTGGTGATAATGCAGAAATATGGCCTTGCAGTGTCTATCAAATGATCCAAATCAGCTAGAATTCTGTCACATCACTGTCTAAAGAAATTATGCACTTGTGCCAACCAACTGAAAGAGGTATATGCAACAGAGTTGCTGAATATTTTAAACCACACCATTTAACACATTTGCCTGATACGATAATATTCATCCATGCATGTGTGTGTTTAGATGTCAGTGTTCAGATCAAATGTCATGTCAACATCATAATTTATCACAGGCTTCACAAATCATTATATCAAAATGTAACTGGTTCGGTTTTTACCACATTTTTTGACGGGTCCTGTTTGGAGCGCTAAATTACATTCATGCAGCGAGTGACAACTGCATTCTACAACCGAAGTGACTGCCTGATATTTACAGGAGTAAGAACCAAATTATATGAGCGAGTTTGGTTAATGTGTGGTTAATATGTACCATATGAACTGAACCACAATCGGTTTCACATATGAAAGTAGGAGTGAAAGGCTTAAAACAGTTGAAAATACTCAATGCCTCAAATGCTGAATAGTTTAGAATAAAGACACAACACTAAGTCTTGATATTTACTATCATAATCTGTCACTTCTTTAAAAAGATTCTGACATGCCACACTGCAGGTCTACTCTGCTCTTCCTTTCATTCATTAATTCATTCATTCACTGGAAGGTAAAGGCATGTATGTGTGGAGTTCTGTCCCTCATGCTGACCCGGCAGCCATCCAAGGAAACCCCAGGAACTCTCCCGTTACTCTTTAATTCTGCTTTAATATACTGAGTGCTGGTAAAAAATCAACATCCTCTTCCTCTTCTGGCTTGCACTGGAACAACTAAGGTCACCTTGAGCAAACGTCTTCCTCTTAACTTCCAACTCAACTCACCTTTCCAAATGCATTGTTTGAGAAGAAATGCTACTTTTTTAACCTCACTTTGTATACCTGCAACCGTTAATGCTCTTCAACAACGCCAAGGCATTTAAATCACTGCTGAGTTCAATGTCAGGAACAAATCTAAATTTGGATTGGAACTGTTTGTTACAAGAGCTACCTGGATGTGTTTCAGAGGTCTAATCCAGAGTTCAATCTTGTAGTCACAAGTTACGAAAATAAAAGAAACTGTAGTCCTATTCCACCTCACTTAAACCAAATTAAGAACACATCTTTTTAATGGAAAATCCACGTCTGTAAGTTATTAAAACATAAAACACGAGCCACAACAGTGCAAAAAGCTATTTGTGTATAGAAATCATTCAGTAATATAGCATAATGTATATCATTATGTAGGAATTAGGGGGAGATAAAAATTCTTTACAATTACTTGTTTCTCAACGATAACAAAACTGTTTCAACTTCAGTGCATTGTCACGAGTTTCGCGGTTATGAATGGAGTTGATTCATGACGGGCCAGCGCACACTGCTTATAAGCGTATAATTACAATAATATGGTGTGCCATATTTCTTATATGCAGAAAATCTCCAAAACATAGTCAAAAGTTATTATGAGTCTAAGTGGTCCAGTGAACATGAATTGGTTTCTCAGACATGAGCCCATGTATTTGGGATCCAGCGAGTCTCTGTTTCTATCTTTGTGAGTTCGTCTCTCAGCTCGGTGAATGCCATGGCCAGATCGTCATTGATGATCACTTTCTCAAACAAGTGGACGTATTTATTCTCCATGGCTTGGGCACTGGAAATCATGTCTTGAAAGTCCTCCTCCTGTAAATAATGAAGAAAATGGCCATGCATGAGTATAATATTACTGTATAAAGGCCTGATATTTATGTGGTGCATTCATGTCGGAATTATCGTAATCATAATTACGGTAATTCCAAAATGGCTTGAACGCACTATTAGTACACTCACCTAAAGGATTATTAGGAACACCATACTAATACTGTGTTTGACCCCCTTTCGCCTTCAGAACTGCCTTAATTCTACGTGGCATTGATTCAACAAGGTGCTGAAAGCATTCTTTAGAAATGTTGGCCCATATTGATAGGATAGCATCTTGCAGTTTATGGAGATTTGTGGGATGCACATCCAGGGCACGAAGCTCCCGTTCCACCACATCCCAAAGATGCTCTATTGGGTTGAGATCTGGTGACTGTGGGGGCCTTTTTAGTACAGTGAACTCATTGTCATGTTCAAGAAACCAATTTGAAATGATTCGAGCTTTGTGACATGGTGCATTATCCTGCTGGAAGTAGCCATCAGAGGATGGGTACATGGTGGCCATAAAGGGATGGATATAGTCAGAAACAATGCTCAGGTAGGCCATGGCATTTAAACGATGCCCAATTGGCACTAAGGGGCCTAAAGTGTGCCAAGAAAACATCCTCCACACCATTAAACCACCACCACCAGCCTGCACAGTGGTAACAAGGCATGATGGGTCCATGTTCTCATTCTGTTTACGCCAAATTCTGACTCTACCATCTGAGTGTTACGATAATCAGTGTGTCATATTATGCGATTTTGACTCCTAAATTCTTGTTGTGTTGTGGATGAGAAACATGTCAGACTTCCTTGACCAATCATCGCTTGCCGTCTTTAATGACATGCGTGATGTCATCGAGCAGGCGGAACTAACGACTGACTTTCGGAAACAAGAGCATTAATAAACAATGGCTACCAAAGCAAATGTAATTTCACAGTAAAATACTGTTCGTTTTTGGGCGTGAACAACAACAAATCATCTTTTGATTTACAGTTAAAAACGATAAATTTAAATTCCCAGAAATGGATCGTGAGGTGTGACCTTGCTTTTCATGGTTTTTCATTGAAATAACTTTTTCATCTTAGTTTTTTTATTTTTAGTTATTTACATGTTTCAGCTTATGTTGTGAATTTAATGTTTATTACATTATTTTAATTCATATCATGTGTTGAATGTCAATGAAATATACTTTTTACTGTAAATTTAAGGTCAGTCTGTAAAAGTTAAAATGCTGCTACCATAGTTTTTATGGTAAGGATCTGGCAACCACGACTTCCATTATTTTACTGTAAATTTCACCGATTTTTAAAAAATTTGTTTACACAGTGTACAACCCAATATTCAATACGCCCTCAATCGAATCAGTATTAAGCACATCATCTGATGTGGGTTTAATACAACATAGGGATCAACAAGGCAGAATAATACAAATATAATGCTGATGGTTTTTATATCACCAACATGAGTGACATTTGCAGAATGTATGGCAGAAGGGTTAGACTCCACGAGCTACAGATGGTACATTTACGTGAGATGCCATGCTTTTGAGTGTTTTCCTCGTTTCGGTCAGCCTAGTGAAAGGAATTCCTCAAGTTTAAGCTTTAATTTATGTTCTCTTACGTATATAGTCATCTTGAAGCATTTAGAAAAATAGCCATGACAGTGAAGTTACTCATACAGTTCAGTGTATTTAAGTGTTCCTGTTAAATTCATTCAGGTCAATGGTCAGTATGAGAAATGTTCTTCCTCAGCTATGACATTGTCCACTATTTTTAACAGTGAAAAGACATTTTTACACAGAACCCAATGATCCAGATGGTCCAAAAGAACACTTCTTGTCTATAAATGTCTTTCCGTACCTCAAAAGGTATTTCACTTTGTGGTTTATGGATTATAAAAATGATGTGACATTATGCGTCAGACTGAACTGGCTTGGATTGGAGTAAAAAAAAAAGTAAAGAAGACAGTAACAACGAATTATTCCACTAAATCATAAAAACTAGTGATGTCCAAATGTGTCTTGTTAAGGTCAGTGCTCAGTGCAGTCACACAGGACACGTGTGTCCTAGGTTAATATGGAAAGATGAGCAACATATTTGCACCCAGGAGCTTGGTAGTTTGTAAAACAACATCCAGGTGTGAGAGAGATGACCCAAGTCTTTTATAAGACCCTGGGGTGGACTTAGGTGCTCACACTCACAGCATGACACAGATGGGTCTCAGCAAACCTTCTGCCCAAGCCTGAAAGAACCTCAGTTGGGAGCGTAAGAAGACAATCCTGTGTGTACTCATGGGGCACACCTGCAGCCCACCCTGGAGAGGTTTTTAAAAGGGACCCTTTCTAAAGAGGTGCATTAAATGCCAGAGAAGCTGATGTACGGTCAAGACGATGGGTCAGGTCAGAGCTTGTCCATCTCAGCTGTGAACTGAACTGCCTTAGGAAGGTCATGCATTGGGAATTCTCCCAATCCATTTTTGATCCCACATTGATTCCACATTATATTAAGTAAGGAATAATGCTGGGCAACTGAATTATTCGAAAAATAATGCACACCCGAGGTGGTAATAGAGATGACAAGAAACTACAATCATTTTATCTCTTACCGTAAAGATTTTTGTGACCGTTTGCTCATTCTGACTTGCCAGAACCTTTGCTTTTCTTCGGCTCAGTCTCAAGCGCTCGATTGGTGGAGGCTTCACAAATACAACATAGGGTTTAAACTCAGAGGAATATAAGGCTGCTATGGTCTGTTAGAGAATGGAGAAAGAAAAAAAAACCAAACCACAGTGAACAAATGACACCTATTCTTCAAAATAATACAGATCGTTGCCTGGTGTGAATGTGTCCATGTTATATCGTAACTGTTTCATTTCAAACCAATTTTCTATGGTATGAAACACTAGACACAGCATCACCCATTTGCCCACATAGTAGGTTCGTTAATACAGTGAGAATGTTTCTATAAATGTTACAAGCTGATGAAAAATAATCAGACCACAGGAAATGTACCAACTGGAGTAGAGCTGACAGAAGCTCCCCGTCCAAAATGACATAATTCCTGCCCTTGAGTCCGTGTTCCAAAGTCAACAAATATGACATGTAATATAGGACTCCCTGGCTCTCGCTCACTCCGTTTATCCCTGTTTCTCTCTTTTCCTCTTTCGCTTGTGCTTCTGGACAGAGGCACAAATTGCGGTATTTGTATCATACACTGCATGTGTGGTTCTTTAATAATATGAAATAAAATCCACTACAAAATATATTCTGAAAGGGGCCGCTGTTGTCGAAGACCAACGGGCGCAGATCCCTGATCCAGCGCTTCTTGGCGCTCACACACCCTGCCATTCACGAATGATCTTTGACTCACGTGTGGTTCCACATCCAACAGGCACACCTTGCTCTCCGCTATGACCCTGCGCACCGAATCCAGACTCGTACCGTAGTAGTTCCCTTTATGTTCACCATACTCCAAAAATCTAGGTGAAAAAATTCAGAGAGCATGAAATATGGGGAATATAGACATATTTATAAGCTCTAATAATTTAAACTCTTTTACATGACTGTTTTGAATAACATGCTATTAAATAATAAGATGACCATAAATCATTAGAAAATAAATGACAATTTGGAGCATGCAAACATAAATCTCCAGGTGATGTTTTCCAGTTTGCTGTTTCCAATATAATCAGTGCAATATCATCCATTCATCCATAACATATTTCAGCAGATCATCCTTCCAGATTTTTTGGCACAGTATGTGTTATGTATGTTACACAAATGTAAATAAAAGCAACCAACTTTTGAGGGGTGGTCTTCAAAGAATGATCCCAAATTAAAATGCAATGCTTTCAATAAGTGTGTCATATTTGCATAAGAAATAAGACCGTAAATCATTTTGTGCCTCCTCTGTCATGTTTCTTTTCGAAAGTCAGTTGTGCTTCTAATCCTGTAAAGTGAATTAGAATTGGAGAGGAGAATTCACTAAGAATGAATTATGCCTACTGATAGCGCCATTTATTTGTACATGCTGCAAGTTGTTTGACTCCTGAATCACTAAAGGAATTATGCAAATCAAGTAACAACACAAATTCGGCATAACGCATTTAATTCTAAAGTGTAAAGTACTAGTAATGACTCAAGTATTATCAAATCCTTCAGAAGGAATTACTTATTAAATTGGAACAGTATTCTGAAGTGAAGAGCCATTCCAAGTCATAATCGAGTCCTTACTTGTGGGTTACTATGATCTTCACTTTAGACATACTACATAGAACCATATATTTCCACAAGGTACGTTAAATAAATAAATCACTGTATAAGTTAAACATTTTCAGGGCATTTGAGGTATGGATGATGACTCAAAATGTTCCAGTAGTCTCCATGACTCTCTAATGATTCAATGAGAATTGTGGACTTAAGCTGCCTTCTCATTGTTTAATAGTAATAATAACGTGGGGGGAAAAAGATGTAATGTTCAGAGGGATGATGGAAAATTATCCATAGGAGTAAGGTCCCGAAAACTGCATTTAAAAATTTTAAATTTAACTCTATCCCCTCCAAGATTTACCTTAAACAAATCGAGCTTCATTCATTCTTTCTTATTGTTATTGTATATTTCTGAGCAGTTTGTAAGATATTTGAACAGTAAAAAGATGATCAAAACATAGATCAAGTAGATCGAGTCCATCAACACCCTCAAATCTTGCACAGTCGTATAAATCTAGGTGCATTTGGCATTTTTCTCTGTAAGGTTATAAGGCAGTTTTGATTTGTGTGCTGTTGAATGTTTGATGATCATGTTAGCTTACTATCTGCTCCATCTGGTTTATGCAGACCTTCTTTGCTTGTTTTTGGATCAGGAGATTATGTATTCTTTCAGAAGATGCGTAATAGCGCCCCCTACCAAACAGTGAAAACATCAATTGTTGGAAGAACTTGTCAATAGCGGGGAAGCGTAAATAATGCAAAAGCATGTCAATGGCTGGGAAAGAGTTAAAATTATCCATAGTTGTAAGATGACTGATAAAATGTACTATTTATTAACAGTTTCCCCAGCTTGTCTGCTATTACCAATTGTTAAAAGTGGTGAAATGTTAAAGTAGTTGTTAAAATGTTCATTGCCCGGCATTAGTTATTGATTAGCTTCACATTAATTATAGAACAGTACTTAGTTTCTTTATTTTTTGGGAGGTATGAAAAAGACTGTCTGATTAGCAGGGCCGTAGCTAGGAAAAGGTGGGGTCCCACTCGATTGTAATCGCGGGGGTCCCTCCGAAAGCCAGGGGCCCCGAGAATCTTCACCACCTTTCTCCAGTATTCAAAAGTGTTACTCATTACCCTAGTAGATGGTTTCCACTGAAGTAGACGTTCCTACTGCTTGAGTTCTGGTAGTAACTTTGGGCTTTTGCCTTTGGCTTCAAGGCATTTGTATGATAATCAAAGATGATGGTAATTCAGAGGAGTGATGCAAAAAGCAGTCCGCTTTTCCTCTCTCTAGTGCGCCTCTCTGGAAAGTTGGGCTGTCTGCTCTCTGTCATTCCTGTCTCACTTGCTTCTTTCCCTATGTCCAACTAACAAGACAAAAAGTCATTTCAAACCACAGAAGGCTCTTAAAATATCCCCCAACTTTAATATAATGTGACACTGTTCACGGACACATGCTTTTGAGATTTCCTCTCGTTTTTGAGTGAAAATTGGAGAAAGAGAGTATTTCCTGTCAATGGTTGTGATCTGCGTTTTAAGCATTAACAAGGATTAAATGTGTGATTTAAATTCCAGGAGCATCTTTAAAGACAGGAATAATGCAGTTGGCTTCTTATAAATGCACTATTTAAAGTAATTTTCGAATCATTATTTTGTGGATAAAAACAACCAGGTAAAGTGGTAGATTACTAGACGTGTTATTTGATTTTTTATTTCAGATTATAATCTTCCATAATTGCCCACTATAGTAGGTTTAGCAAAGTAAAACAACACAACCCAAAACTAGCTTCTAGAATAAACTACAACATGGGCTGGGTACCATTCATGAGTGTTTAGCTTACTTGTGGTTGAGGATATCTTTTTCAAAAGTGTGTTTGGAGACAAAATGGTACTCCACCCCTTCTCTCTCTTGCTTTTTCTGCTCCCGAGTGGTATCTGTTGAAATTTAAAAAGTCTGGAAATAATCAAGTGTCTTAATGCAATCCAAATCAAATTAAACCAAACCAGCTGATAAACAGGATCTTCAGACTCATTTGCAGATCCCAGAGACCCTGATACGCATGTAAAAATAAAAGTAATGTTGAAACTAACATGTGATTTTTTTCTTCAAAATATTTGTAATAGCTTTCTCTGACCTCAAAACTACTTGTCAGATATCTTTATTGGTTTATCCATCTTGTTTACCACAAAGTAAAACAAATGTGATCCATTTTAGTAACATTATTTCTGTTTAGGGTCCATTTGATCCCAGAAAAGAAGTGAAAAAATGCAATAAAAGACAGAGTATCATAGCATGTGTAGTTCATTGCATTTGTTTATCTTTTATATATAGTGTGCCTGAGACCCCAAAGATAAGTAATACAGTATAATATTTTTCATAATGGACGATAAAAGTATCAAGTAAATCTCATGAAATTAGGAAAACACATCATCACGCTGATACTTCAAAGTCAATTCAATTGTTCAGTCCTTAAAATTGCTTTGGGGTCTCTGAGACCCTAAACAGAAAATAAGTGTTAAAAACAGTTTACATGTACACTTGTGTAACGGATGTAGGCCAGTAAGAGCTGTGCGTGTAAACCTCACTCCCCTTGCAACAAGAGGCACACTAGCGACTGACAATAGAGGCTGTGGTCTCAAGCATCCTTGTTAGCGCGCCCGCCTCCCAAACCCGCTCGGAGCAGGTCTAGTAGAACCGATCACACTTGCACATTTCTACGTTTATTTTTAGAGAGATAATTGACATTATAAAGAAATCATGGTGGAGACCTTTGTGAAAAAGAAGTACACTTTAGCATATGTTTAAAAAGAGTAATGTTTTTGACACTTAAAGGAGAACTCCGGCGCAAAATGAACCTTTGGTCTAATAAAACATTGGTACCTAGTCAACCGTTCTCTGAGATTTGTTTTCATGATTATCGAATGTAAAGAGTTTTATCTCTAAAAACTGTTTAGCGTACAACGCTAGTAATGGGGGCATTTAATAAGTAAAAAGAAATCGCTAGTTAATACCACTAACAAGGCTCAAAATAGCCCCACACAAACACAGTAACACAATTAGGGTCCCTACATGCAAAACGAAGCATTGAGAACTTTGTAAGTGTACAGGCCGTTTAATAAGAAGATATTTTATAAAGACAGTCCACTTCGTGTATACAGCAGGAGCCATCTTTGGAAAACAGTCTCGACTAGTCAAACCACGAACGCCGTTCATACAGTTCAGAAGTTCACTGAACTTCATACAGTTCAGCTCACTTAGCACGTGGTCCGTGGTTTGACTAGTCGAGACTGTTTTCCAAAGATGGCTCCTGTCTGTATACACGAAGTGGACTGTCTTTATCTTTATCTTCTTATTAAACGGTCTGTACACTTACAAAGTTCTCAATGCTTCGTTTTGCATGTAGGGACCCTCATTATGTTACTGTGTTCGTGTGGGGCTATTTTGAGCCTTGTTAGTGGTATTAACTAGCGATTTCTTTTTACTTATTATATGCCCCCATTACTAGCGTTAAACGCTAAACAGTTTTTAGAGATAAAACTCTTTACATTCGATTATCATGAAAACAAATATCAGAGAACGGTTGACTAGGTACCAATGTTTTATTAGACCAAAGGTTCATTTTGCGCCGGAGTTCTCCTTTAATTGCACATTATTTATAATTAAATGAGAATGTTTTATACTGTTCAAATTTATACTAAATACAATTTGTTTGACCCAATTCAGTAGGACTTAAATACATCTTTATGTGTAATTTCATAATTATTTTTTTGTCTTTAAAATATGGTTAAAGTGTACTGTAAAATGTACTGACATGTTGACTGTTTTAATGGTATACTAAATTATGCATTAATGTCATGTCTATTGAAGCTTGTATGTATATTTAAACTTGTAAACATATATTTGTAATTATACAATTTTAAATGCAGTTGCAATTAAGTGCATTTAAAATACAGTAAGTAAATGTTAATAACACACTACAGTTAAAATTATAATCAAGTACTTTACATGTGTTTTAGTATGTTAGTCAACACAGAAAATACGTAAAAGTATATTATATTATCGGCAAGTACATTTTTTAGACAAAACATTTACACATTTAAGTTTAGAAGTACACAGCAAGTGCACATTTATTAAGCGCACTTCTTTTTCACAAGGGAGGCAGAACTGTCTCTAGTAGCATGTGTCCAAAACTGAGCAGGGGTTAGGTAGTAAGACCCTTATTAAACTAGACTGAGTCACACAGAAAATATGCTCAGAGGTGAGCTTAACAAGGCCTGAGGAGCTCATCACACACCCTAACTCTAATTGTCCACGCGTCCTGTGCATATTCCAAAATAAACAATAAACTTTTACTGCCACTGGGGGGGCAAGAAGTCGGGAAGTCGGGATTTGTGTGTGTGCAAATCACACAACAACTTTCTGTTTATGAAGCCCATCAACAAAACACTGTTCCCAGTCGTGAAAAAGCGAATACAAGCCCATTTGAGTGAGCCAGTTTTGAAGTATACACTTCATTTACACATTTACGGGCCAGCAGGAGTCTGTTAAAACCTTTTATTCCTCTGAACTAGTGATCACAGCTGTTGTGGTTGTCATTAGCTGTGACGCTCATATTGATCCTAAATCACTGCCACCATCTTGACGATCGATTTTGGCACTCACTACTCAAGTGTCATAAATCAAATAAATGTACGTGTCAGACAAAGTTAGACCCTAACCCTGTTTTGCTACAGTTCGGAAGCTTGGAGCACAGTCAGAAATGTGGAAAGCTGCTAGTTTGAGCTTCCAGCGGGGAGAAACAGGCATGACGAGCGCCAACCTAAGGCAGAAAGATGGCCTTTTTCCAGAATAAGGAGAAAAAGTCACACGGCTCCCTCGATCACTGCATAGACAGTCTAGCTGTTAGTGGCTGTGATTATCCTGTTCTTTCATCGCTCTATCGCCCCCTGTCCACATCGCTCTTGGACACCCAGAGTGGCAGTGAAAAACTGGTTCTGTTCTCATCTCCACTCTGGCAGTCTAACACAGCTTTAGGCCTCAGTGTGGAACATTTTGATGGTCTGCCTACAGATTATTCATGAACATTTACAAGAGTGTGGAATCAAGGCAATAGTTTTGCTTTTAAGAAACAGGGCTGTTCTTGATTCTTCTTTGTCTGTTTGCTTGCTTAGAGGCAGCGTTATATGTGCCATTCAGTGTACCTGTATCGATTTCCTTGTAAATGAATGATTTACCTATTAAATAAACATTTGATGAATTCATTTAAGTACCTGCACCCGAGACTAGCTGTAGATGGTGGTCTGATTTCGGTGGCAAAGGAACTGGTGCAATTTACATGAATGTGAACTTGGGTCCGCAATTGTTCAGGAAGTATAGTAACAGGTACATGCACCTTACCTTGGATATAAGCAAGAGTGGGCATGCAGTGTAATCTTGCATAGTTAGTGCAATCAGAACAGCAACTGAATGCCTCACAATCCTCTGTCTCCTCAAAATAGTCCATTTGCAAGTAGCAGAAAGTCCTGGTACAATCACACTCTGAATCAAACCACAGCAAACGTGCCCAGTGTGAAAACTCCCTAAAGCCAAGTCAGTTCACGTGGCGGCCAACAGGTATGTAGACAAACGAGGGTGCTTGCAAACTAGTACTTTTTGGCAGCAGAATAAATGGTAACATCTTTTTAGGAGACCGCTGATTGTAAGCTATTCGTTTGCTGCTTTGACTGCACACACTGTGCGTTCCTGGGACAGCTTTCACATTGCAAATGTTTCCATGATTCCATGCTCTACTTCGAACTAAACTGCCAGTGTGAAAGCCCCCTAAAAAGGTGGACTGGGGTACGGTTTATGTGAACGTAAACCTTAGATGACGTACGATTTTGTCAAGTTAAGTTTGTGCTCACTCACTTTCATGACAAGCGAGACTGACGCACTGCAGGCAGAGAGATAATTGTGTATCTCATTTCTGCTCACCTCCAGCAGAAACTGTCTCCCATGTTCTTTCGAACCTTTGAGGTACATCTGGGGCGAATGGACGCCAATGCTGTGTAAACAAAACCAACATTTTACTCCAAAGCACAAAACTGAGGGGAGCAACAGTGGCCCTGTTCCAAATGACACATTACATGTGTACTTATAGGGCCCTATTTTACCGATCTAAGTGCATGGTCTAAAGCGCACGGCGCAAGGGCACTTAGGTTGTGTCCGAATCCACTTTTGCTAGTTTAACGACGGGAAAAATTGGTCGGCCCACGCGGCACATGGTCTAAAAGGGTTGTCCCTATTCTCTTAATGAGTAATGGGTGTGTTTTGGGCGTAACGTGCAAAAAACAATCAGAGTGTACTTTCCCATTCCCTTTAAAAGCCAGTTGCGCTCGCGCCATGGCGGATTCGCTATTTACATGGCAGGAATTTGCAAGCGGAAAAACTGAATGCTTCTCCAGAGAGGAAACGGATCTGCTTTCGCGCTTTAACCTCGCACACAAGCAGATCCGTTTCCTCTCTGGAGAAGCACTCAGTTTTTCTGTTGAAAAAAGTAGCCGTCTATTTCAGTTGCCTCAAACAATTCAGTTGCTATTTAAACAACGTGGCGCAGGACGTAAAATGATAACTGCGTCGGGCTGAAACTAGCAGAAAACATTTGCGCTGCGCCTGGCGCTGCATTGCGTCGGGTGTATGATAGGGCCCATAGTCTTGTAGTCTTTTGTGAAGTCCACAAGACCGTAGGGTGTCCCAATTGTCATTTTAGGTTTCAGAGGGATGCTCACGAGTGCCCACTTTGCGGTCGATATGCGCCCTCGATGCACTGGTGCGAGCTCCGCAGAAGACTTCTTCCCGACAGTCAAAGCGGTGTTACGTCACAGTAGTGCGGACTCGTAGGAAGACTGCAGGGTTCCAATTGGGATGGAGCCAGTATCTATTTTGCAGTCTTTCTCCAGGGGTTAACAGCTGCCACTTGATGAAACTGAGCTTACTAAAACTAATGTTTCCTATCAGCATTAAAATCTAACAACAATGACGTCATAAATGTGCTTCTTCAGCACAAATTAAGTTATAAGCTGCAATTTTTAGGCTGGGCCAGCTAATGCACAAGCATGTTAAGAGTAAACAAGCAGGTTATGCATCTTTTAAAAAAGGCGATTGTTTTTAATTTAGCCCTGTTTTTATTCCCTCTATATTATTCCCATTCATTTTTCTATGAGTGGTCTATCTCATTCTCTCGACAATGATTAAATTATGAGTAGCTTATAGTTTGGCTGGTGACAGTTTCCCCAAAACTGAACTACACTTAAAGCAGCTCTAAAGAGGTTTACACACACAGGTCTTATTGGTTGTTTGTAAAAGATAAATACTATCTGGTTGATTTATTGCACAAATGCTATATGAACTCACATGGCACAGTTACACTGAAGTGTTCTGGGTCAGAGAGGAGAAGTCTTCTCTTTAACTCGTTCACACCAACTCCAACAGGCCCTGTTCAACACACATACACACACCAGCAGTTTATCACTAACCAATTAATCAACAACGAGAAAGCAATAAAGCAGCAGTCAGCATTCACTGAATAATTCATTCAATATAAACACAAGCTTATCTAAATCACCAGTATACATTTTCATCACTTATGATCCCTGTTCAAATATTTTCTCTTTTATCTTGCGCCCAATATAAAAGACTGCAGACTTGGCTGGTTGAGTGGTACATGAACAACTTCAGTGAAGTCCTTGTTTGTAGGCGGACATGTACTCTATTTAAATGGACTGTCTGGGCCATGAAGTGGCCCATTATTCCAACAGGCATCTGCTGTTTCCATCACTGGGACGCAAGTATGAGGATGATGGGGTAATGCTGCTGTATTGATTTCAAGCTGTGGCTCCCGCCACTCGCACCCATTCCAAAACACAGATCCAGTCTCTGCTCTGGCCTGAGCATCCCCAGAAGGTAAAGCCATATTACTGTAGTGAAAATGAAGAATCTGTCTGGTGCCCACTCAAGAGAGACTAAAAGCCAATGTCTGCCAGCCGCAAACAGACAGGATGGTCCCTGCGGGTGCATCTCAAGAAATCAAAGTATGTATGCAATCGCTACACTGGCTGCGATTGGCCTTCTCGATGTGATTCAGGAGTGAAATTCCTGCCATTCTGATAATGCATGAAATGCCAATTCACCTCACGTTTGGCTTTTCGAAGCAAACGAGTTTCACAGAGTAAGAGGAAAGAACCGAATCGCATTGAAGTTGAATATGAAAATATTAAACCATCTTGTTTGACCTCACGTGAGCTTTCTGCCTGCCCTCGTAGTCATCATCCACCAGTGCTCATCTCGCAAACAAACCTGTGGGTTGATGGTCTTCGAAATATTTGTGTCTGTGGTCAGTTGAACAAACACATTAAGGAAGATACAGTATATTTTCATTCCGGGATGTCTTTTAAGTTATAGTTCTATATGGCATTCCTAGGCAAGCAGCGATCATAGAGTTAGTCAAATTAGACGTTAACGTTCTGTATCCATGGCCAACATAAACTCATGAGAATGACATACATTACAAGTGAAACTAGTCATTTGTGCAACAACCTGCTCATTTGAGATGAGCAAACTGCTTTGGTGGGCTCAAACTATTGTGGACATCTTGTTTGTCTCATATAAAAAATAAAAAAAAAGACATTAGAAAGTTCATGATAAAGAACTGGATATGTAGTTTAGAAAAAAAAAAAAAATCAATGTAAAAGGATTTTCTTTAAACAATTATCATGAATTATTAATTTATAAGTATCAATGTTTTTTGGGGGGAGTCACATCACATGTTATTTAACAACCTGAACTAACCTTGCTTTGTCACAAAATCAAATTATCAAATATTTTAAGAGACTTGCTGACCTTGATGTCAAGGGGCCTGTTAGACAAAATAAATGCAATTTTATTTTTATTTATTTTATTCATTTATTATAAAAACAAGTTGTTTTCTTCATTATGATACCAGGATAGTTACATTACCCTGACATTTTATGCCCCAAAAACTATATCAAAATGCATATTTAAAAAAACATTTAAAAAACATGCTCGTTATAAAAGAGATAGGTACAATTGTATCTACAAATGTATTATTATCTATGTATCAATTACATTTGAATGTATTTTCAATAAATTCATATATAGAACAAAACTATTAACATAAATAAAATAAATAATGTATAAACTACATAACATTTATATATAATACATGTCATGTCACTGGCCCAAATTCTCCTTGTCTGAATCCAACATAACTCATCAATGGTAGACAACCGAAGTTCTGACTTTGCTGAGATGATTTAACGTCTTTGAAATAAATCAACGCAGTCCTTGAACACATTGGCTCTTTGGCCAGACTTGTCAAGGCTCACTTGAAGTCCTTCAATACTGGGAGAGAGTTCACAGTGCTCCTGTACGTTTTCTGTTGTTTGTTTAGGAAAGAAGTCTTGCATTCACCTACACCTTGCCAACAGCTGTTCTCACCCCTGATATATTTCAGAATTAATGCTCTAAATTTACCACAGGGACACATTTTTGATTCAGCAGTGGATAAAAAAGTGAAAAAGTCAGAATGATCTCACACGCCTCATCGAATTTCTAAGTAGAATATCATGCATTCGTAATTATGTAAACACCAGAGCAATGATGACGTTTTAGGCATACAGTTACTACTTTTATGACAATAGAAATTCGACCTGCCAAGACGCCATTCAATTCAGAATATTTATATATAGATCCTCAGCAACAGAGAAGCTGAACTCCCATTTCATTAAACTCCTGATAGCTCTGGATTTCATGCTTAATGGAATGTCAACTTTTGATTATGGTCATTTTCTTAACTCTTGCAACTGATGGACTGTGGCAACAGGGAACTTAAATGACATAAAAAAATAGTGTGTGGCTCCAGCTGTATGAAGATCTTTCATGTTTAGATAATAAGCACATATTCTGTTGGCTCATTTGGAGTCTGCCTTTGGGAAAATGACTTTGAGGTGAACATTTTGCAGACCCAGGTCTACGTCCAGGCAGTACAATGAAAACAGATACATCCATATGTTAATTTAACCTTCCATACTTGCTCTTTCTCTACAGTATCTTTATTTTTTTACTGATACAACAGGAAAGAGTGTTATTAAAGCAACAGTTCACCCCAAAATAAGAATATGAACACACACACTCACATACATATATATATATATATATATATATATATATATATATATATATATATATATATACACTCACCTAAAGTATTATTAGGAACACCATACTAATACTGTGTTTGACCCCCTTTCGTCTTCAGAACTGCCTTAATTCTACATGGCATTGATTCAACAAGGTGCTGAAAGCATTCTTTAGAAATGTTGGCCCATATTAATAGGATAGCATCTTGCAGTTGATGGAGATTTGTGGGATGCACATCCAGGGCACGAAGCTCCCGTTCCACCACATCCCAAAGATGCTCTATTGGGTTGAGATCTGGTGACTGTGGGGGCCATTTTAGTACAGTGAACTCATTGTCATGTTCAAGAAACCAATTTGAAATGATTCGAGCTTTGTGACATGGTGCATTATCCTGCTGGAAGTAGCCATCAGAGGATGGGTACATGGTGGCCATAAAGGGATGGACATGGTCAGAAACAATGCTCAGGTAGGCCGTGGCATTTAAACAATGCCCAATTGGCACTAAGGGGCCTAAAGTGTGCCAAGAAAACATCCCCCACACCATTACACCACCACCACCAGCCTGCACAGTGGTAACAAGGCATGATGGATCCATGTTCTCATTCTGTTTACGCCAAATTCTGACTCTACCATCTGAATGTCTCAACAGAAATCGAGACTCATCAGACCAGGCAACATTTTTCCAGTCTTCAACTGTCCAATTTTGGTGAGCTCTTGCAAATTGTAGCCTCTTTTTCCTATTTGTAGTGGAGATGAGTGGTACCCGGTGCTCTTCTGCTGTTGTAGCCCATCCGCCTCAAGGTTGTGCGTGTTGTGGCTTCACAAATGCTTTGCTGCATACCTCGGTTGTAACGAGTGGTTATTTCAGTCAAAGTTGCTCTTCTATCAGCTTGAATCAGTCGGCCCATTTTCCTCTGACCTCTAGCATCAACAAGGCATTTTCGCCCACAGGACTGTCGCATACTGGATGTTTTTCCCTTTTCACACCATTCTTTGTAAACCCTAGAAATGGTTGTGCGTGAAAATCCCAGTAACTGAGCAGATTGTGAAATACTCAGACCGGCCCGTCTGGCACCAACAACCATGCCACGCTCAAAATTGCTTAAATCACCTTTCTGCCAATGGGAACATTCTGACATTCAGTTTGGAGTTCAGGAGATTGTTTTGACCAGGACCACACCCCTAAATGCATTGAAGCAACTGCCATGTGATTGATTGATTAGATAATTGCATTAATGAGAAATTGAACAGGTGTTCCTAATAATCCTTTAGGTCCGATTTGTAAATGATTCACTAAGTCTGAAATCAGAATGTTCTGGTTCACAGCTCACTGGTGGGGAAGATAACCAATGATGAAAGATGCCAATTTTGGTGTGAAATATAGCTACCACATGAGTTTTTTTTTGGAAAGGTTTTCATCAAAATATTATGTTACTTTTGCACAATGGTCTGAAAACATATGATGAAGAATGTAAGGTTTTTGATGAACTATTTCTTTAAGCAAGAATATTTCTTACCAGTTAGAATCACAAGGCGGTACGGCTCTTCAGGGTTTCTCCGGTGAGGCAGAACCTCCTGATATATTGGTAAATGGATAATGGCATGTCCTTTACCCATCTTCTGCCTCATCTGTTGACTATTGTTGTCCTTCCGGCTCAGCCGGAAACTTCTCCTTAACCCAGCTGTGGGAAGGGAGAAAACTAAATTAATTAACTTAAAATCAATACTTGAACTCTTTTTTAGCATTTTTTTATTGATTTGAATTGGTATGACATAATATGTCAGGCTTGATTTTATTATTTTTTCTCTTATATTTAGTAATGTATTTATAAATTACTGCATAATTTCCTCAAAGTTCCTACCAAGTAAAGTTGCCAAAAATATTTGGACAGTGGTACATGCATCTGCTTCTTATTAGACAAGTGTGTTTGTCTGGATCATTATTGTAAATTTTAGATAGCTGTCAATGTCTAGTTTTGCTTTGGAATTGGTTCTTGGAACCTGAAATCAGACAAGAGGACCAAAATAGGGTCAGCAAAACTGAGAAATTAGAAAACTTAAATAAGAGAGGTATTCAAAACAATAATCCAGGCAAGACCAGCTGTTTGGTAAACCTCTGAGAAATGCAAGCATTCAGTGAACAAAGAAAATCAACAATGTGGTAGTCAGAGGAAACCATTAACTATGAAGAAACCCCTTCAAGCACCTGTCCAACAGGAGTATTCACCAGGGTGCAGGAGATTTCTCAAAGCCTATCCGTGTGATGGAAGATTAAGTAGCAAATTTCAAGGACAGTGTTTCCCAACCCTGTTCCTGGAAGCCTCCTAGCTGTTCACTTTTTGGATGTCTGTCTTATCTGACACACCCATTTCAAGTCTTGGAGTCTCTACAAATGGGATGATGAGTTGAATCAGGTGTGTTTGATTAGGGAGATATCCAAACCGTGTAAAGTTTGGAAACATTGCTCTAGGATATCAAGCAGAACTGATTATTGTAGACCACGATTAAGTGCAGAACAGGATGGACACAATGACTTGTACATACCTTACTTGGAGAGGCTAACTTACAAGAACACAGGCTTCACTATAGCGGTAAGGTGGAGTAGTCCACGTTCTACAGCTTTGTCATGCTGATGTTTTGTGAACTGCAGATGAGTTATCATGGCCAACTCAGTGATTGGAGCATTGAAGTCCCTTAAGAACATCATATTAAAAAAGTTTGAGAAAATTTGGAAGAGCTGAATCCCCTTTACCGAAATCGGTTAGGGCCAGTCCTGAACAATTTAAGTCTTGCTCGGATCTATTTCCATGCAATCAAGATATGAGAAATCTCAAGGCATTGAGGAAATGTGAAGCACATTGTTCCAAACTTGGACAAAGTTCCCTTTCTATAATAGTTTTGTGGACAAGGTACTTAGTAATACACATGTTGTCAAGGTATTCTGCTAAGCATGTCCCAACTGATGAAAGTCTGGAAGACTGTAGTAACCTGAAAGACTGGGAGACCGACCAAGTCAATTCATTAACTGGTTCAGGTAGAGCTATGTTTAATATTGGCTAGTTTAGTTCTAGCTCCAATCAAACAAAACTGAACCAGTTGATGAAGGTCTTCAAGATTACTAGTAAGTGTGGCAGGAACAGGACTGGACATCCCTGATGTAGAGCCTGCAAAGATCCAGCTTTGTGAAGATGGTGGAACCTTTAGTAAACTCAAAAGCTGAAGCCATCAAAAGAGAATAATTATTGTGTGATTTTTTTTTTTAAAACCAAATGTAGTTAACAATTGGGTAGATTCTTCATTCCAACAAGGAAAAACTCTGGTTCTGAAAGGCCACAGTCATATTACCCTGCTGAAAAATACAGCATAAACCAGCATTAAAATGAGCTGGTGAAGCTGGTTCACCAGCATGGTCTTGCGGGGTTGAGTGTGAGGTAGCCAGTTGTCTGTATGCAAGCAGTGTTTTGGGGAAAACCATCATTTTTGCTTGGTCATTTCTATATTTTAACTAATTAATTATTTAAAGAAAAAAAGATAAGAACATGATTTTTTGTAATATATAGTAATAACTTCTTTAATTTCTTTTCCTCCCTCTTTTGAAAGTAGAATTTGAATTGTTTTAAGGATGATTGCATTATTAATCAGTCATCTTCAGTTTTGAATAACAAAGAAAAAAATCTAACTGGTAAAAGGTTTCAAAGGAAATGCCAAATGAAGAATGCCAAATAAAACCATAATAATAAGCAGTTTGTTCAATAACTCAGAAAATGAGTCAAGTCAAGTCTTCTCAAATGAGAAGAGCACGTTCAATGGCACAGTTAATAACAACTTGATAAGTTCAGAATTGTTGTTGAAAGTTATAAAAACTTTCATGCTCAGTTAGGAACTCCCTTTGTGTCAAAATCCAGCTGTCAATCACTGATTCTAAAAAGAAGCGTAAAATATTGTAGACAATAGTGATAGCATGCACTTTCAACAATTGCTGAAAGATTTAATTGAACCAATGTCAAGGGCCAAGTGCCCAACTAAAGGGAACATTAATCACCATAACGGTGACTTCAACAACATTTGTACATGTACCATATGAAATAAATAAAGCCAAACTGGTTTGTAATAAGTGAACATGGTAATGCTGTTTTTACATTTTTTGGAGATATTATTTATTTAATTTGCAGATTATTTGATCTAAGGCTGTGTGGCTGTAAGTCGGTTGTAGTTGTGTGTCTGCTCATCTCTTCTCTTTTTTTGTTCTTGTTGTTCCTCTTATCTTCAGAGATTCTGCTTGTTAACTGCAGGTGTCATCACTAATGCAATCATTTTTGTAGAGTGAATCTACTTTTTCTCACTAATAATTGCAACACTGCTTCAGTGTTACTTTTACTCGCTGTAGATCAGGACAATATGAAAACTGAGCAGTGTTTCTTTAACACTGAGGATTTTGCTGTGATGTACAAGTAAACTAGCCTGGTTAAAACCAGACCATTCTCAGTTGTAACTGAGTTATGGTCTGGCAAAGCGTCATAGACAAATCATTTCCAGAGGGGCGTCACCAACGGACGTCGCGGATAGACCTAAAACCAATCAGAGCGATAAAGGAGATGACTTATGCAGAGCGGTGGAGAAACATCTCCGAGTGTTGTTCTTTGCTCGGTTTTTAACAAAACGGAAACGTTCAAATCGCTTAAAACAGACGCGATAACTGATTCGAACGAGTGATGTTCGACGGATGCGGCATCCATCTTTGTAATGTAGGCTAAAATCTGCTTCAAAATCCCAGCGCTGTAGTCATCGTGTAAAGCCCGCCCCAACGTTTCTGATTGGTGCCTCGATTTCGGCGGATTGGAAAAGGGCTTAAATGAGCTCTTTCCCAGACTAACTTTCAGAGCAAATCTAAATTTGCCGGAAGTTGTCTGGGTTTTCCCAGGCTACAAGTAAACATGTAACCTGCAAAAGGTGCTTTTCTTTCATAAATAATTTATATTTAAATTAATTGGAAAATTGTCTTAGTCTTTATTTAACTATGAGCACAGATTAAGAAATGTAATATGTAACACGTAGGTTTGTTTTGTTGTTGTGGTCTTGCTGGGATGATACCAGCACTTAAAAGACAACATATGCTCGTACTCCAGCATCCCAAGTAGGTCCCAGTGTGCAAAACATACCTTATGCTAGCTCACCTGCACACCTGCTACCCATGCTTGGGACCATAAGACCAGCAACCAGCATGCTGGAGACCAGCATACCAGCATCCCAAAATGTTCCCAGGCTAGGATCCAGCAAACCAGCAACCGTATGCCGTATGCTGGTGACCCTGAAACCAGGGCTTTTGTGCTTATTCTGTAATAGTAAAGTGATGAGATCTAATCTTTAATTTTAATATTCATTACTAGGGAAAAGGGTTTCTTTTCTATAAATACAGTAGCATGATAAGGAACCCAACCACCTTATCAACAGTTTTAGCAGGCATATGGAATCCCAAAAGCTCATATCTCATAAACAATCAAATTCAGCACCGCAAACTAAACATACAGTAATCACAAGCTTTAATTCAACATAAATGAAAAGAAATATTGTGCAATAAACAAACAAAATATCTGAGTTTGTAGGATTTTTGTGAAAAAGATACATATCAAACTCAATTTTCAAGTAACATTCAACAAACTGACATAATTTATAAACAGATTTGTAAAAATGTTGGGTAATCACTGTCAAAAGCATTTTCTGCCATGCCAAGAAATTAAATCTGGAAGCCATTCAACAATTGTCCAATTCATGTGGTAGCTACCTTTTATAAGTCTCATAAACACATTAGAGGGGCACTGAATAGCTGTTGATGTTCATCTACACCTCTGGGAATTATGTAGAGGAGGGCCTGAACATAGGAACATAACTGTCTTGATGAACAGATGTGAGCATATCTCACATTGTCTGCTGCAGTATCCCCTGTACAAGTGCTTGTTTGATTGGTCCCACCAATATTAATCTTCCTGAATCCCTTAAATACTTCCAGACGTTTAGTGTCCCACATAGAGAGCAAAATCCAGCCTGAAGGCTTCTGGATAAATAAATCAAAAAGAAGCTAGAAAGTTTTGACAGAAATAATCAAACCAAGGCCTGAATATTAATTTTATCTGAGTGGCCCACTGGACTCCCACTAGATAAGAATCTCTAGACAGTAGTTTTTCATTCTTAGGTTCTTTAACATTTGTATTTATTCTTTCTTATTAATGGATACAACTCAGCATAACTAAGTAGACTTAAAAAAAAGAACACTAAATATCCAATACAAAAATTATGGTTACACATTATTTTAAGATGTGCAACTATAAATTCCGTAATATTAATTAACAACATGTACTTGCTATAGGGTTAGGGTAAAGATGAGGGTTTGGTTTAGGGTTAGGTGCATGTATGCATAAAATTTACTGTTATTACAATAGTAAGTACATAAAATGTGTACTAGGACACTGTAAAATAAAGTGTTGTTATACTTTATTTTGATGGTCCAATTTAGACACTCCACTAACTATAAATAACTCTAACTACATGTCAACTAACTCTCATTGGAGTATTAGTAGACTGTTCGTAGCTGTTACTTTATGATTATGTGTTAGGGTCAGTAAAATTATTTGACATACTTGCAAAGTTACTTAGAGTCAGCAGAATGTCTTTTGGGGGACCATCA